ACAGGCGTGAGGGAGTGTGTGTCTGAGTGTGTGTGAGCCCACTGGATTAGTCTTCATTTGGTGCCTCTGTCATAAGGGAGGGGAAGACTGAACACTGTGTGGCAGAGCAAAGAAAACACACAGGGTCAGTCGAACACACACAAACACAAGCGCGCGCTATTAACCTCCCCCGAGCTCATCAACTTTATTTTGCAATCTTCCCTCAGAACCATTAGAATACCCTGAAGAAATGACTTTCCAATTAAAGGGGATCTAGAAGAAGTGGATTTTTTCTTCTTCTTTTTTTTTTATCTCCGGCTCCCGGAGTTCTTTATTCCAATAATTTAAATTGGAATTGATTTTTCAATTTACTCACTGACTGCTACGGACACAGAGCGCGCGGCCAAAAAGAGCTACGTTCCCGGAATATTTGTCATGACAGTGCGCTACATGTAAATTTGCACAGTCCTCCTAAATAGTAATATATTTCCTCCTGTGAGAACAATCAGGCAGGACAACACATTCAGGCCTTCTGTGATTATAGCACCAGGTATTTATCTCTCACTTTATGTGGTGTTTTGTGCAAAGGTTGTTCTGATTTCCCTCTAATAGGTCCATGCTAATTAGCCGAGGGAACCATTTTATTAATCTCTGAAAACAAACATGTACTCTCACATTAAAGTTCAGAGTCATAATCTGAGCAGTTACTCTTTATCAGACAGGCTGCTTGTAGATTTAGTGTTTATGGGGTTCTCTGCACTCAGAACCATCACTCAGGCCAAACCTTACTATTACACAGCATTTCCCACATGTTCACAGAGCAGGAGGAAACAGTAGTCTGTCCCAGGCAGGGAGCTAGGGCCTCACATGTTTAAGTTTGACAAACTATGCCTATGAACTCTGCAACTACAGCAGCTCCAGCTGCGTTCTAATGAGCATTTATTGTGTCTCTACTGCAGTGAGCGCTTTGCAGAGCCTGCTTCAAAGCTGGCCAAATTCTACTCGAGCTGTTTTACAGATGCGTCTAGAAATCCGAGGCCGTTCTTCTGTGGACGAATGGTTCTGTCTTTTGCTCCTGACAGCTGCGCGGGCTTGTTGTTCGCTCTCTCCTGAGTTGTTTTAATAAAGTTGTGCTGCAGGAGTAGTGAGAGAAGATTAATGGACGCACAGGAAGTGTGGCAGTTGTGAGAGGATGCAGGACAGAGCGGGCCAGCAGCCATCTGTTCCCTCTCCTTTACAGCTCTCTTAATGGAGAAGCAAACCAAACAACATGGATCTGAGCCCTGCAGACAGACACACGCACACACACACACACACACACACACACACACACACACACACGGACACGCACACGCACACGCACACACACACATGCACACCTCAGTTGCACACAGCTAAACACAAAACATCACTTTATGTGACAGAGATGAGAGCTAGGCTTTTGTCATTGTATTCCCTCTTGTTGGATGTGTGTGTGTGCACACGCTTGCTTGTGTGTGTCTCTATATGTGTGTGTGTGTGTGTGTGTGTGAGAGAGAGAGCTTTTTTTCTACCTTTCAGCAAAATAAAGTTGGGTGTGAGCCACGGCTGTGAGATTTAGATGAAAGACACAGCCTGGATGGAACGTGATTAAGAGATATGTTCTTGAGGCAAAACAGGACTTGGCATTTGCTGAGACAAAACCTAATCAAATTAAAGCAAAACATGGCCATTGTTGTGGAGTGTGTTCTTTGCCTGTGTCAGGTTTGAAATGAAACAGTGTAAAATAGATATGAGCTTGTGTCTGCGCAGCATCACCGACACAGTGGTTTTATTCACATTTACACGCAGGCACTGACTAATGACGGTTGTGCCCAATGATGCCTAAAGCACTTTATAGAGCTGTCTGGGTTGTAAAAAATGTTTACTATGATGGAGCTGAATGGCTCACTGAAAGAGTATTATTGTTTACAAGTTATTGTTTTAGATTAATTCACTCAGCAGAATTGTTAAATTCTCTATCTAGCAGGCACGGCCACCTCCAGTTCATTCTTCCGTCAGTTAAGTATTTGCCGTTCTTCCTCCCTTGAGTTCCCACTCTTTGCCAGTGCTCCATTTTTATTATTAGCCTATAATGAAATCTATAGTCCAACTGTTTCTCATTTTGTTTGTTTTGAATGAACGCAGACCATGTCACGTTAAATGACAACATGCGTCGTCTCCCTCTTTCTCCCAGTGAAGACATCTGTACGACATGATGAAGTTTCCTCTCTGAGTATCAATCCTGTAATTGAGCTCAGGGAGAGGAGACGTGATGTGCACACAGAGGAAGTGAAAGGCCTCCCTCACTCTCCATCCCTCCTTCTCTCCCTCTTTGCCTCCCTCCTTCCCTCTCTGTTTCTCTTACACCCACACACACACACACACACACACACACACACACACACACACACACACACACGTTGTGTCCTGTTTTTTTTTCCCAGGCACACGCAACTCTTCCTCTCTACCTGCTTTTACATTAAATTTGTCAGTCAGCTCTCTTAAGATGCACATCAGCTGAAATGAGTGCATTAGCATTAGCTGCCATAATATCACTCACTGTTCAGGGCACAGTGCACAATGGCCCAGGCCTCAGCAGAGAAGAGAGAGACACAAGTGGAATCTCATAATAGTGTCTTCACAAGCCTTTTCGCAACACTACATCCTGAGTGAGACAGCGTCCTGGAGCTACAGTGCCTTTACTCGTGTCTCTTTATCTGTTTTGTAATGTCGCTTTCTCGTTGTGTTCTTACGATACCGTGGATCATGAGGAACCTGGAGTGAGACCGGATTAAATATTAACACAACCTGATGCAGTCCCCACCGGAGTTCCTATTCCACTTCACATGATACAATTAAAAACATTCCCACATGCATTGAGCGGAACACTTGTCAAGAACATGCTGCTTTACAGACTTAAAATAAATCTTATACTAATCTATGGAGAACCTGACAAGGAGGAGGCCAAGGTTTCCATGCAGGCACTTAGCTGAGTAGAGAGTTGGAAAAAAATACAGAGAGATGAGGGCCTTACATTATTTATATGTGCTAATGGTGGCTGTGTGTGTTTGTGTGTGTGTGTATGTGTTTGTGTGTGTGTGTGTATGTGTGTGTGTGTGTGTGAATCAGCAACAGAACAATCTGCTAAAATAGACACACAGCTGTAATCAAGGCCTTACATTTCCTCTCCTTCTCCTGTTCTCTGCTAACTGCAGGGTCAATTGGAGTCAGTTTAGTAGCATTTGGAACTCTTGCGGTAGATTATCTCCTTTTAATGGAGACAAAAGACAAAGTAGGAGTAGATTGCTATTGCCAAAGGATGAGATTACCTCTGCAAAGCTATCCTGGCTAAACATGTGTACAAAAGGAATACCTCACACAGTTCCTACTGTACATTAGATATCGTTGTTCATCTAGTACAGATAAGAACAATAGCCCACATGCGTAACCTAGTTTTGTCCACAAAAGGAATCCATTAGTCTTATTGTGCAGCCCTTGAGCTCAGCATCACAGGGGGGAACCCACTGTTGCGCTGCTACATCCACGCACATGTGCCTCTCATTTCCTATGGCAGTCCAGAAGTATCCTTCAACATCCTATTGTAAAGTTTACCAGGGGAGAGGTTCAGTGTATTAAAGTGCCCTGAGAGAAACGCTAAACGATGTAAATGCAGGCAGCTGCTTGTTGCTAATGCTGTACAGTAGAAGAGGAGGCCCAGGCGAGGTTGGATGTGTACAGTATCTATATAACATTATAGCCTCTCTTTCATGTCCTCGTGCTCTCTAATGGGAACAGTATGAAGACTAATGGTATAGTAAAAGTGTAGGGAACGGTGCTTCAAAACCAAACGCCACCAAATTCTGTTTCTGCTGTTGCTTCAAACACAACATATTTGGTTGCAAAAGCTGCTTCAGTTGTGTATAAAAATATTATAATGGCTTCAAGTTTTATTGATTTAATAGCCTTGTGGTAACAGATGACTTTGGGCGGTATGTTATGCTGTAGACTTTTCATGTCAGCATACTGGTGTAAAAGATCAAGATGCGATTCCACTGGTTAAATCAGGATGTCATCTTTCCCGCCGGTGAAAAAATAAATAAATTATATATAATTATTAAAAAGTCCCTATGCCTTTATTATTTGGAAATGTGACCATTTGTTTTATATTTAGATTCCTCTTCTCTAACTGTCAACTCTCAAGCTGCTTAAGAAGATCCAAAGAAATAAAATCAAACTATCTGTACCACATTGACGTGCACAGCATCACATCGCATTGTGTTGAATCAAATCGTATCAAACGCTCTGCATGGACATAGTTGTTTTGCATTGGTAGTTGCTTCTAATCTTTAATGGATCCGGCAATGCATCGAGATACGTATCGCATCGGCCCCAGTGATGGAATTCCACATCCGTACAGTAGACCAGAGCTTCATCTTAATCTGTCATACCCACACAGGCCTCCACTGACATCACCAGTCTCACTGTATGTTCATTTGAATAGATTTTAAACTGGATGTTATTTAACACTATTAATTATTAAGTATGTTGTTACAATCATTTTACCATATTTTTAATACAATTAAAATATTAATGTTTAGGTTGTTTAAGTTGTGACTGAAGCTAGTTATTTCATGCATTTATCCTTTATGTTTGGTTAATTGTTTCAACAATTTATTCATTAGTTTACTATTTCAACCGTTCATTTAATACTTGTAGCCTTTTTACTATTTCTCCGAAACTTTTATCTAAACGTTTCAGCTGTTTTGTTGTTTGGTATCTATTTCAACCATCCTCTTTTAATTTCAATTTATGTTTTTTCAAAATAGTGTGTTGGAGCTATTCCACACTCTTTACACATACCTCCTGCTAACTGCAGAAGTACCCCTGGGGTATATGTACCCCTGGTTGGGAATCACTGCTGTACCATGTGGTCATTTGCCCCAAATCTGTTTCAACATTCAAAATAGCATGAGACATAAATGACCATGTAACCCACAAACTCCAGAGAAACGTTTTTAATTGCGATAAAGTCCAACAAAGCACTATTTAGAAAAACAAATACAGCAACACTGTCTCTGATCATCATTTGATAGTGTGCTGACACGCAAACTCTATTAAGCTGTCTTCAAATATGCAAAAATGATATGATTTTACAATGATTACATATTCACTTCCCCAGCTGGCTGGCTCCAAGCGTCTCCATTTGTCATCGACTATTGTGTCCAATTATATGATTAGCTTTGAACACTCCAGCACTTCGAGAGCTCTCGTGTGTTCTGCCGCGCAGAGTGATTCACAAACAAAGTCATTACAACATGTATTCACACATATCAAATAACAAAACAGATGGCCACTGCGCTCGCCGCCTGATTTGTTTTCCACACGAGTGGTAGAAAAAAAAAAAAAAGTATTTTGTGTGAGCTGTGTTTAATGCTGACTGTTTTTATTCCCAAAGAAGAGCAGCTGGCTGTCGCGCTGTTAGATCAGCTCCTATGAAAGACAATCTTGTTTTCATTAATTTCTCTACAACAAAGGCACTTGTTGGGAAGATTTAGAATTACAGCGGGTAAAGCTTCCGGATAATTCATCACAGGGACTTGACAGGAAACTTAATTGTTTTAAATGCCAGTTGCTGTGAGCAGCGTGGCTGGTTTTTCTTTGATGTCTAACAGGTGGGACAGATAGACGACTCTCTGATGTTTCATTTGACCTTTGACTTCTTGGTTATAAATCCACATGTAGTCCACCGGCCAATAAACCTATCATCATGTGATGAACTGCAGTTCCCAGAATTCCATGTGAGATGGAAATCTTGTAGTCTGCCTCCTCTTATTAAAACCGTGTAAATCTTGCCCATCTATGTCCTACAGTCTGTCCAGTTCTTGACCTATGAACACCGTGCAAACCAACTAAGAACCATATGGACTCCCAGTGCAGTTTATCCTTCTACCACACTCCCTCAGCTCATGTAATGTAACTGGGCTTGCTTGTGAAGATGTGAGAACATTAATACAACCAGAATATTGCACAGTACATAGTACATAGTTCCTTTAGTTTTCTTTGCAATTGATCATCCATACAATAACCATTCTCAGAATTGCTGTGGTACATCTGGTTACACCACGGGGTGTCTTGACTGTCTAATTGCATGAGACACTACATAGTTACTCAGCTACACTAACTCACTGTCTAATCCGGTTAGGACTGTGTAGGTGTGACAGACATGCTAACTTGATTATTTTAGTAAATGGCAACACCAGATCAATTCTTAGCTCGGTTGATGTTTGTGCAGGACACCTATCAAAACCGTCAAATTCAAATCTGAGTTTTTTTTCCTTCATTTAAATTAAACAGTCTTCATAGAGATAGAACTGTCACACATTCACTAGCTTCTATCTCATCACTTCATTCGTCTGTCATTTGAGGAATACGTTGTGGATAAATTGCAGGGTCTTGCATCGTGGTGCTTATACTCACAGCAGAGACCTGACATTAAAGTATCCCTGTACAGAAACATTTTTTTCTTTTAAGGTTAAGGTTGCTTTAAATCTAGTAAATAGCCTCCCTGACATCTCTTGAGGATGTTACTGTAAATGCACTTTAAGTGACTGAATCATTTAACATCTAATCAATACGATTCGCATTGCACCATGAACACACTTTAGTCTGATTCGTGTTTGAGGAAGCTGTTACAACTGGTAGTTAACAACTTCTCTGTGGTGAGGTGGAATGGTTATTTCACAGAATAAAAGCAGAATAAAAATGTTTGATTTTATTAAGCCAGCTGAAATGTGATAAAATGCAGATGCAAAATAGTATAAACAACTCGGAGAATCAAAAACCTTGCACTATTTATTTTAGAAGTAAAGAAAGCACTGTTTGTCTTGCTCTGGCAGGTAGATGGGATCTAGCTGTGCCATGCTGCCCTCACCTGGTCAATACATTTACAGCACCATTCAAAATGCTTGTGTTATAACTATGTGCTGTATCAAGTGGTTGGGCTTAAACTCAAAAAATATAAAATTGTGAAGTGACACCAGTCACAAACAAACGTAGTTTATTTGCACCTCGTGTGCATGACATCATGCAGCACTGACAGTTATATTTAAGCCATTATGCGTAACTGAGGTGCTACAGAGGTGAAGTTGCAAATATGCTGCAGCAACCAACCAAAAGCAGCAACCTTTAAGAACCCACCATTGTTTCCTGTAGGTTTTCCTCCCGCGGAGGCAGTCAGGCCTTTTATAGATGTTGGTTGACGTAGTGACAAGGCCGAGAAGAGTTTCAGTGTTTATTCATAATACTAAAGCAAACACTAAGATACTGTGGGCTATGTTTTTAATGACTATGAGCTTTATTTACGCCTGCATGTATTACACCTGAGCCACAGATACCCGTGCGTTGCCTGCCAGAGCAAAGATGCACAGAAAACATCTCAAGTCTCATGGGTGAGTCAATCAGCTCTGAACACAGATGTTTTTGCCACAACAGCAGTACTCCCATACTGTGAGTGTAAATTACACCTTGGAAATTAATTGCAAGTTTTGATCCTTCTGATAATGAACCATGTACACAGTGATGCATTCAGTGTTACATTGTGCCAAAGCGTGCACAGTATATAACAGCGTGCTGTTTGACATGAAAGTTTGATGGTTGCTTCATATCATCGCGCTAGTCAGGTTGCTCATTGATCGGACGCTGCCTGTTTGTGTGTGCCTGCTCTTCCGTCTCACACTTCGCAGATAGTTCCTGTACAGAATCACACTGATCACCCTGTCCTGGAACTGCTTGGAGACAATGTAGTACAGTATGATATCTAACACGGTGCTCAGGTTCATCAGGAATGTGGTGAAGACGGCCCATGTGCTAAACCCCCCATCTTCGCCATCCCCCAGCAAACGGAGCACCAGACACACGTGGAAAGGCACAAAACACACCAACACTTGGATGATCAGTGTGATGATAATCCGGATAGACTTCTGCTTCACTTTTGGCTTGAGTTTGGAGGTGCGTCCGTGGATCAGATTATCCACAATGACAATATAGCAGCCAATCATTATACAAATGGGAACCAGGAAGTAGAAGATGAGTCGCACGAAGTTGACGGGGTTGTCGTGGCGCATGTAGATGATGTCTTGCATCTTGATGCAGGTGGTGTAGTTAGAGATGCGATCGGGGTCCTCGTCAGAGAAGAGAAGGGGCACAGTGGAGCCCAGAGTCATAAGCCACACCCCAAGACTCGCCACCACAGCCTTTGGGACATTCCTCAGCTCTTTGCCGTGCTTTGGCTGGACGATGGCCATGTAGCGGTCAGCACTGATCAGAGCAAACAGCCACAGAGCCATGCAGGGGTAGAAGATTGTGAGAGCTGCACTGATTCTGCAGAAAATATCTCCAAAGGGCCAGTAGTCCTGGTGGTGGTAAACCATTCTGAAGGGGAGCAGCAGGATGAAGGTGAGGTCCACCAACGCCACGTTTATCATGTAGACGGTGACAGAGTTCCTCTTCTTGGTGGTGAGGGCAAACACCCATAAAGCGGTGACATTGACTATGACTCCTATGATGAAGACAAAGCTGTAGAAGATCAGGCCTGAGATGCGGTACTCCACCGGCCCCTGCTCCAGCCCTGACTCCACAGACATGTTGGACAGGTTTAGGCCCAGATTCATTCTAAAACTTACAGAAGACAGAAAGATATAGGTGATTATTTCCAGTGAGCAATTTCTTTATCATATTTTTTTGCTCTTTTTTTTTTGCTTATCCCATTTGTTTTCATGATTTGAGTTGAAGTCCTGTTAATTAACTTATATTGAGACATCATGTGCTTCTACCAAGGTCCTAATTAAGGGAAATAATATTTTGACCACATGTATAAAATGTAATAACTTTAAGAAGAGTGGTTATTTATAATAGCATTAGAAACATATTTATTGAGTTTAACAAACGTATTATTGTGTTGTTGTTAAACCTTCACTTTTTGATTTCAACTTACTTTGTTATGCATTTAGCTAACAGCTAACAATGTTTTATAGGGTAGCCGATGTAAAAATGGGAACTGGTTAATAACACAAGCTTAGCACATGCAACCACCCAGAATATATTCTGTAATACATAGCCTCAAACAGGCCTTTAACTGTTTTTACATTTTTAATATTGAGGTCAACTACATTGTTAAACATTTTGCAAACTTGATATTAAACATGAGTAATCATATCAACATGAGAAAAAATGAATATGGAATTAAAAAAAACAGATTGTTCTTAAATAAAAATTAAAAAAAGCATTATTCCATTAAACAATGTATTGTTAATACATATCAATGATCAGAAACAACAGGATGTTTGTGTAGTGCAACATGGATGCCTGCAACCATTGGCAAGAACTCTAGAAAAAACATTTCTAATTTCTGTTTGCAGTGGTAAAACACTGGAAATGCATATTACTCTTCCACTGCTGTTTCTTCACAGGACCCATTAATAAAAGTTTACTGTGTCTAATATATCAACACATAGCAAACATTGTTTACAACAGTGTTCTCTTCCAACATGGAGGAACTATGAGCATTGCAAACATTCTGAGAAAGGCCTCTATTCTCTACAATAAATATGTCAGGTACCAATCCTGCATATCCTAATAGAGGCCTGGTCATGCCATCCACTCTTATTGTCCAAAGTGCACAATTAAGAATTTATTAACCTCAATAAGCATTGTTCTCACCTCCTTTTTCCATTGTTCTGTTGTTTTATAGAACACACTTCCATCAGTACTTCTTGCTTTTATTTGCGTATTTGGTGTTGAGGTAATCCAAAAGTAACAGAAAGTAATCAAGTTTCATTACTTTAATATTGTGATACTTAGATTAGGTTACTGACAGGTAATTAGTTACTGTATCAGATTATTTTTTAATATAACCGCCCAACCCTGTTAATAAGTTAACTGTTAATAAATGGATAATAAAGTATATAGAAATCTTAATCATGCCACTAGGTAAATTTGTTAAACTCAAATGTGTTTGTAATGATATAAACAATTATAAGAAACTCTTATTAACTTTATTAAGCTATAAACAGTTTCTTATAAGTTCTTATAAATGATCCTCTAATAAACGTTGGTAACATCTTATATTAACATACGCATATTCACTATTGACAAGTTGCTAATTAGCATGCATATTATTAGCATATTAGCTCTTTATTAGTCATTATAAAGCATTTAATGCCGTACGTGGCATGATCCACACCTATACTAGGCCTTTTAGAGTTTTCTGTCAACAACCTCCTAATTACTGCTTATTGATGGTAATCAAGGCACGTGTTGTACATAAATTTTGATCTTAATTTGCTTTGCCCTGTATGGGCCTTAAAAGGTGATTGTTGGATACCACAAGAGTACTCATTCTCCTCTAATAACATTCAAAACATATGGTATATTCTTATGTAACAAAACACAGAACTATAAGTGTTAATAGTGTTCAAATAACTCTAAATTTAGTCTTTTTAACTCAGAATATGTTCCCCATTCTAAAGTGATATCTTGCTCATAACTGATATTCTTTGCTCAGTATTGACCAAAGTCAGACTAGACAAGACTTTGAACTATTGAACTTGTATTGAACTTGAATTGAAATCTTTTTCAATTAATTAAATTATCACAGTGAGGTCTTGCTTATGAGCAAGAATGGTAAATATGTTCGAAGTTAGACTTAGTTTAGAGTTATTTGGAGACTATTAGCTCATGTAGTTATAGTGCAATTATAAGACACACACTGAACAACTTCCTTACTTACTGTAAATAGGAGGTTGTTGTGGGAGAACTCCTAATGGCCTAGCAGTTATAGAACAAGGTAATGCAGAATGAGGAATTAATACGTGCTTTATCATGACAGAAGAACCAGTATGCTAATAAACATGCTAATAAACAACTAAATAATGGTGAATATGTGCGTCATAATCAAAAGTATTTATTGTGTTAATAATAGCATCAGATGTTAATAGAAAGTTTTACCCAAGGTTTAAACGCTTCAAGGAGCAACTTACTTTTGCTCATTATGTAGAAGTAATCACTCATTAGCCCACATGAGTTGGAAATCTAAGAAAAACAAACAAAATACCAGTATAATCACATTTAGGTTCTGTGTTTGAAAGAGAATAAAAATATATGAAACAATCAGGAGGTTGAATTAGCCAGAGGCTGCTTCCAAATACGTACATATCTGTATCGTTTTACAGTTTGCAGAACTTGCTGCTTCATCATTTGAATAGTTATTTTTAAAAGCTGTGCAGCTGCACTGTGAAAGACAGTAAAAGACGGACTGTGTCTTTCTAAATGTGTGTGTGTGTGTGTGTGTGTGTAAAACAAAAACCAGCAAACAAATAAAAATACATATATATACATTACACTGTAGAAAGAAAGAAGTGCTGTAATCTGTGCTAATGGTAAACTATGTAGAAGTGAACGTTTTATCTGAGAAACTGATACCATGTATTGATAAAAAATCATGTGACTTTTACTAATACTAAAATATAAATTTTTTCCATTGCACTGTCTGCTGTGTCTATTGTGAATTGTGATGATTTATAATCAGGAAACCAATTGATGCAAAGCTGCTGAATAAAACAAACAAGTCGAGTTTATCACAAAAGTCAGCACCAGAATACACATACAGCAGGGTGACTGTAGAACACGTCTGCCAGAATTACTTTTCACCTCCATCTTAAAGGTCAAACAGATCAGGTAGCCTTGCCTGGACAATAAAAGACTGCACTTACCACAGAAATCACACAAACATCTTGACAAGCTTGCGCCAACAGGTTTATGAAGCAGCACAGCGATTTATCTGAGCACTCAGCCAAAACAGGGAAGTGAATGCTTTCTCAAAGGGTAATGTGAGGGAAATGGTGGCGAGACTGAGCGTGGTGTAAAGCCCCCATCACTTCCTGTGTCGGCCGTGTGCTAAGTTTGTACTTTAGATTCCTTTACAGTATCTACGTAGTTGGAACACAAAGGGCTACAGCTTTCCACAGTCTGCAATTACACCCCCTTAAAGAAAATGATGTGCCATTAGAAGTGGGAGTGTGTTTGGCAGGCAGAGAGATGGCAGATTTAGGGCGAGTTATTGATTGGAAAAGTGGGGTCTGTCACAGCACATTAGTTCTCAGGGGAGTAATCCACAGCAGGTTGCTGTGAGAAGCATCTGCTGCTGGAGAGAAGTAATTAAAAACAGGATGTTGAGGCAGTTGCCATATAAACAGGAAATAAGACGGTGGTAATAGACACTTCACGCTGATGCTGTGAGATGGTTTTACACCACGTCGACTTAATGGATGCAAAGCGCATACCTCAGGTGAAAAGCTCAAGGTCAGGCTGGACCTGGACTGAATACAGATTAATGTGTGTGATTAATGAGTGTGTGAGCTGCTAACAACTATGAATTAGGACATTTGGCTCAAAGAACACAGTGCGATCAAAACTTCTTCCTCTTCTCTCCTAACTGGTACTTTCCAGTGGATCTTGTAAAAACGAGAGTAAATCATCCTTTCCCTCAACTTACAGCGTTTCCTGCTTTGTGCGGTCTGATTGTTGACTGCTCTACACTGTTGTTTTTTTTGTTACAGTGTTTATATTGAAGCTGCTCATTCAGTCTGATTCTTATTCCCGGGAAATAATTATCTATCGGCTTGTCCTCTCGATGTGTCTTAAAAATCTCATACCAGATGGTACTTTGTGTTCATTGCAATATGTTGTTATGACAACAGTCTGTGTGATGTTTTCCTCTCTTTGATACTTGTCATGTGGTTTCCTCAGCAAGTCCCTCACTCCATAATAAATCCGTGGTCTTCATTGTTCACCTGTATCATAAACCATATAAGTGCATTAATAGATATCTATATAGACAACAACAGGTTCTGTCTTCTCTTAAATCATTTTACTTTACACACATTTTTTGTTTAAAATAAAACAGGCAATGGTAGAATTAAAAACAAAAGTTGAATTGATACTCTTTTATTTACTTATTTTTCATATTTAGGTTTGATATGTAGGGTGCCGGAGAAAAGCCCATTGAACTTCCTGTACTATCACCTCTTTATCCTGTTTAACACTGTCCTCTAGAGGCTGAAAGTCCTCACTACAGAATTGTCTGACTTTTAGGCCTAATAATCGATTTATTCATGGAATAATCAAATTCTTATTTGTACAAGTATGACTAATTTTTAGATAATATTTTATCTGTGGCAATTAATGCTGAGAAGGACTAAACAGACTTTTGAGCTACAATAAAAAAGCCTTAGTGGGATTTGTACTATGTTATGTATTATTCTGTTGCTATGTGTCTTTGTTTCTCTTTTTATGTCTTTTGTCTTTTTCGTTCTCTCCATCACTGGCTAGAGTTGGTAACTGAAGATTTATTCAAAAGTTAAAGACTTTAAAGACCCCCACAGACATTTTGAAAGAGATATAAAAAAAATACTCTATTTGTCTATGAATATGTATTATTGTTATATTGTTAATTTCAAAAGTTGGACACAAGTTCAAGATGTCTACTTCACTGTAAAGTCCATTCTCTGTGTGTGCATGCTGGAGACTTTATATTTTCACATCTTGCATAAATGTTGGACCACAACTGACTTCCGTGGCTAGTGGTGAACACATCTTAAACTCAGAGCACAGAGAAACTTCACCTCTTCAGCTGATGGAAGGAAAATAATTCCAGTATCAAACTCTGCACATACATCATTCTGCACAGTGAAGGTTGTAATTGATGTAACAATTAGCAAAGCAAAATTTTTAGTGGAAGGCGATTTTAAATCAAAAGAACATTTTTCAAATCAAAACAGAAACAATTTTCTGGACAATACACATATAATGAAATAATCATAATATACCTACACCTCTGAAATGGCCATGTTTAAGATGTTTAGATAAATTGTGTTAAGTTCTCTGATACTTCCAACCCATGCCTTCAAAACGGGCAGATGGCAATTATATGTGTGAAATACAGTGTTCATTGTAATACAAGTAGCTAGGCTATCAGCAAGGGACATTTTTCAGTCAAATAAAATTTAAAAAAGTATAAAATCATGTGAAGAGGTCAAGAGGCAAATAAACATCTAATAACACCCTTTAGTCTGTTACACTTGATTGCCTTGAACTGTACATCAGAGTTTACCGCATTCATTTGCCCAGAAACAAAGAGATCAAGGTTTAAAAGTGTGTGTGTGGGTGTGTGATCTTAGAACAGAGGATTCACTGTAATTTTTTTAAGTACTGCAACTTACTTTCAGTATTGATTCATCTGCTGATTATTTGTTTGATTAATTGTTTGGTCTGTAAAATATCAGATGTCAGTGTCAGTGCTGATCACTGATTCTCAATGTCCTAAACCTGAAGTTGAAGTTTTCTGAAGCACTGAATCGTTTTTTTGTTAACTGTTGCACATGTTTTGCTCTGTGGTTTTGTTGGAGCGGTGACAGTGGTTATGCTGGATGATTATCAACATGATGAAATGAACTCTGCTGAACTTTTCCCCATTACTCTGTATTGCTTGGCTTTATCTTCACCTCTGTCTTATTTGTGTGCCATCTGTTGTTGAGGCCTTCTGCTGTGATCCTACATGCAGAATACTTGAGGTGAAAATTGTTTCTATTTTGCTTGCTATTGTTCGCCAGCTGTTTTGCAAAGGTGTGACAAAGTAAGATTTTCTGGCAATAGCTTTGTAAATAAATAAATAAATGACTGTCATAGTAAATGCAGAAGTGAGTACTGTATGTATACTGTAATGAACCTAAGAGCAAAATGGTAAACATTGTGCATATAACGACTTTTTTAAAATCTAGAATTGAGAGCAAACCTGTTCCAACAATCTTTTTCCTGCAACTCACAAAAGCTTTTGTCACAGTTGGCTAACATGGTGATTTGTTTACAGTTAAATGTTAATTTCCCCTCAGGCCAAATTTATTCGGTGACCTTTTCGATAATAAATCAGCTACACAATGTATAACTATATCATGTGCACATTTGATGTGACATTCATAAAGGGAAAAATAACATGTTATAATTATTTAGGAAAAATCACTGAATAAATCAATATGCACCACCCGAATATAAAGACAGACGATACAAATAAAATGTAAAGCGAGCTTTTTCAGGGCCCAAACACTCACAGATACTTCCCTTAACCTAACCCCTAAACCTAAACCTAAACCACCTAAACCACAGACCCCCAAAATCACAGATAGAGCTTTTGTCCTTAATGGGTCTGTTCAGTATGAAATGTGTCCCTGAAGGTAGCCTATAGTGTGTTCAGTAGACAGACCCAGTCACACACAGACAGATTTGTTTCTTGTTGTCTTTCTATAACCATAACCATATACTTTCGTTACCAATTGTTTTAGTTGCCTAACTTTAACCACTTGCCATAACCATATTCTTGCTCTTAACCTTAAGCACACCATAGCCATAATGTAGTTGCTTTGTTACTTATTGCTTACTGTAGAGATAAATTAACAAGTCATTTATGAAAATGTTAGCAGAAACATCCAATATCAAGGATTTGTCTTGTCATGTTACATGGCTCCTACATTGATGACAATATAATTGAGTTGACTTAAAATGATGAGCAACACAGGGCCCAAAATGGATCCTTGGGGGACTCCCTTAATAACCACATCAGGGTTGGGGAATTGTGCTTATAGGGGAATGGCTTGGACAGTAAATGATTCACTGCAAGAAGATTACTTTGGTTTTCTTGATCACAAATGATGTGTTTAAAAAATATTTTCTCCAATACAAATAACATTCTAAGAAGTTCCATCAAATTAAACTATGCTGACAACTGTTATCAGAGTGCAGTGAGGATTCCAGGTATTGGTGATTTTACATAAAGTAAAAGTATTCTTAAATCTGACAATATAAGAAGACAAAGAGACATTTTTTTTGACTGTCCAACATTCTTCAACATCTCTTAACACTGAATAGTTTTAGAACCAAATGTTTATTTGTTTTAATGAGGTGACAGGGATGTTTGGAGGTAAAGAGAAGAGGGTTGAAGTGCAGTCAATGATTTAAAGGTATCCGTCAATGACACAACAACTGGAGCCTGTATACTGGATACATTATACAAAAATGTATCCTGTATACTATATATATTGTTGATGCATTACAGTATAGTCTCATCAATTAGCCCCCACATCCCTTTGTTCCCTAAACTCTGTCAGAGTTCTATAAAGGGGATAAAAACACAATACAAAACGCTAACAGAGAAACACTTGAAACAGTTTCTTTGTGAAAACAGATAAAAGCCAATCTTAAAATGAATAACAAAACAAAAAAATTATAATTAATATTTTGGTAGCACTCCATATAACAAACTATCTAAAGTCCCCTGTGGAGTTTTAGACCTCTAGTAGTGCTGTGGAGCTGTTTTTGAAGAGTGGGTCCCTGTTTTGTTCATCTCATCAACCTCCACATGGTTGATGCAATTTCACAGTGCTACCCATGGTTCCACTGGTCTAAAGGTGTTGGTAACACATCAAGATGTGCTGCAGTGCACCAGCAAAGGCAAGGAAGAAGGCTGCAAGCTAGTAAACATGAATGTATACTCAGAAGAATCAGCTTTGCAAATGTTTTATGAAGAATGAAATGCAGTTAACCTTAACCTCAAGGAAACACAATAATGTTATGTGAATACCATAACTCTTGTTAAAACAGATCTCCTTTAAATTAAGTTACATCATAGACCACGACTACTTTCATCAAGAGGAAGTGCACGTTAAAGCAGGCAAACATGTGCTGGCAATAATGAGTGTACAGTTGATCAATGTTCCTGAGACATTACAGCTGTGGGCTGAACTGAAACTTGAGGTAAAAATAACCCCTGAAAAACCTGAGGTTGTGAGTCTGATTTCATTTTGGAATGAAACTTATATCTACTCTACTCTAAAAGTAAGTATTTTACATGAACACACTTCATATCCACTCTTAGATGTTCATCATTGTCTCTTTCAGCTCTATATTGGTTGACTGGCCACGTCCAGTATGATCTGCTTCATGTGCTACCTCAACAACACTAAGTCTATTGGCAGGAGACAAGCATGCTTTATGAAGAAGTCCTTTCTTTCCTTAACTGCAATGATCTGTGCTTTCCTGAGTAAGTCACTAATATTAATAAGAAAATATATAAACATAGGAAGTGTTGAATTTTCCTTCTTAAAATTCAGTCATTCTGTTAATGTTCTTTTTACAAACCTGCCCTTGTGTAAACTAAGAGCTGAATTTCTATGGATCCAGATGCTTAGTAGCTGCTTGGAGTCCTTGATGGAATGAGTGGACTCAGTGGCACATTATTGGACTGGCCTTGATTAAAGCAGGCCCACGCGTAAAAGGTCCTTCATCTTGTGTAACTCGGTGCCTCAGTTCTCTCATTTACTCATGCCGCAGTACTCTCCTTTCTGAGAATCTCTCACTGGTTGAAACAATAGTACAACTGTTGAGTTGGATCTTGTTGCCATCAATAACATCCTTAGAGGAGCCTTCTGGTGACGTCCTCACTGCACTGGAGAAGGACATGCTGACCTGTAGCTTCAGCAGCTTCATAAGTTTCCTCTTGTAGCCCTTACAGGCGAAGAAGTAGATAAAAGGATCCAAACAGGAGTTGAGGTTCATCAGGCACACAGTGATGTGCAGCGATACCTGAAAGGCTGTGAGATCAGCACAATCAGGGCTTGACACCAGCTTGCGGATCATATACTGCAGGAGGTCAATGTGATAGGGGCTGTAGCAGACAACAAACACCAGAGATACGCAGCATATCACTCCGATGACCTTGCGGCTCCGACCGGACTTCTCTGTCAAATGGTTCTTCTTGGCTGTGAAGTGAAGTTTGGAGCACAAGACGGAGTAACACACTAGGATGGTCACAACGGGGATGATGTAACCAAGGAAGACAGCACCGATCAGTATAGTGGCAATGTGGTCGACCTTCTCAAAGTTGGGGTATTCCATGCAGGTGATGTGTCCATCATCTTCCTTGTTGGTCATACTCATGTTCAGCAGGGGGAGGGTCTGTCCCAGGACCAGCATCCACACACCAACACAAATGTAGCGCACATTACTGACCTTTCTGAGTCGGGAAAAGCGCAGAGGCAGGACTACAGCGATGAAGCGGTCTACACTGAGGCAGGTCATGAAATTGACCCCTGCGTAAGTGTTGATGTAGAAGATGAGGCCTGAGATCTTGCACATCGCCTCACCCAGAGGCCAGTGGAAGCCCAGAGCATAGTAGGCAATCCTCACAGGCAAAGAGAGGGTGAAGAGGATGTCAGAAATAACCAGGTTGAGAGAGTACAAAGTGGTGGAGTTGATCTTCTTCAGGTTTGGACGGATGACGTGGAGGGCAAGGCAGTTACCGAACAGTCCCACAAAGAACACAATGCAATAGAACAGAGGCATGAGGACCCTGGCATATTCCCGGTGGGCGTACAGAGTGTTACAGGTAGAATTATTAAAGTCATTGTTGGTGGATGAGGAGTTCAAGGTCACAGGCACAGTGGTCGAACCCATCTCTATATTGCAGGAACCAGTAGCTGCAAAAGGAAGAATAAAATGTGTTGATAATTTGGTTAAGAGAGATTTTCATTTAGTTTCTTTCTCCTCCGATCCAAAAACATAACAAAGAGAATGTGTATTTAGAGGAAGCAAAATCAGACATGTCAGTTAGAAACAAAAAACAAAAAACCATAGAAAACACCGAACTTATGTCTATGTTGAAATGAAACTCTTTTTGTCTCATACGACCCTGTCGCAAGAGCACATGCAAGACCTTGCTTTCAAAAAGGAAGCAAAAGAAGTTACAGTATTTCTCATTAATGATGACACTTACTGGCAGATTCATAAAAAAAAAAAAAAAAAAGATCTGATAATGTCTGCCAGTAATAGAGATGGTTTCTTTGAATTGTAATAAATTATCAAAAACATGCAAGTGATTTCATGATTTCATACATTGAAGGCTCTCACACATAATTAACAAATGCATAAGCGTGATATGACTGTCACTGTCCTTGTTTTCACCCTTAGCTAAATGTTTTTGGTTTTCTAGTAGATTTATGATCAGTTGCTTGCAACATGTTTTATCTAATGCTGTAGTTGTTTTGTGGTGTGTAGTGCCATCTTGTGGTTCATTTTGAGCAAAGCCCAACAGAGACCTTTAATTTTACCTCAGTTTTATTAATCAAAGCTTTGCACAATCATGCCTTCACATTTCTTAAAACAAAATATCTGATATGCTCTGGTGTCTTACTGTAGCTGTATGTTTTCACTTAAATACGTTTTTAGCATTTTATCCTAACATATAAAGTCATAGCTTATTATTTGAACATCAAAGCATCATTTAGATAATTCTGAGTACATTTTCAACCTCTTTACTCAATACAATTAAGCATTTTGGAGAGATACCACCATCCTCTACGACTATTAACCCATTAAACTCTGTGTGTGTTATGACCCACAGGACATAGCTGGGTTTGCAGCTAAAAGTAACGTGAAGGAAGTCTGTGAACAATAATGGGGCTTTACTATGATTCTGACTGCAGCTGCAGCACATTCACACTTACACTGCAAAGTAAACTTTGTGTTGAGAGACAGCCTTGCATATGAGGAAGTCAGCTTCCCCAGGGTGTTCTGCATCAGAATGGCATGCAGTTGGAAAGTCATATTGTCTGAGCTGAAATTATAACCCGCTTGAGCACATGGTGCAGTTGAGAAAACATGTTTCCTGGTCCATTAACTCAAGAGACAGGATATCTGGGGCAAACATGCAGAAAACACTGTCGATCAAAATTAAGTTATATACATGAATGTAGCTATTTGAAAATAAATCTGTGTTTTATGTCAAGAATATTCTTTGTACTTTTCCAAACTCTCAAACTATTATGAAAGTGGGTTCCTCCGAATGGTGAGTGTCGTAACTGTGATTGATTGTTTTCCCTCTCGTATGAATAGGTATTTTCAGCGCTGAATTCCCCTAGACTACCGGTGCTGTTTCATAACCCAGTTATGTTCATCAGAATATACAATATAGTGTGTAAAGGTGTGATGATTTGCCATTTAACAATGCCATGCTGTAGTATATATGCAAATTTAGTTTGTCACTCGTTTTGCAAGAGTAGATTTCAGACGTTTGTGTGTAATAGATACCCGCCTCTGGAATACAACACAGTTTCCCAAAAAAAGAAAAAAAAACATTACGAGTTAAACTGTAAACCCAAAACAGTAACATATGTTATCCAAATACATTATCCCATGCAATATCCAATCTGTGTCACCATTAATGATTTACCCTGACCCTAAAAAGAAAGAAGTTTGTAAAAGAAACTTACCTCACAGATGGAATACGTTTTTCTTGATATTTACTGAAGCCACATTAATCCAGAAACCTGACACGTCCTGTTCAAAGTTTATCTAAATTATTAGGTTCTGTTCCGACAGCACTACAACCACACTGCCCTGAATGAGAACAGCATGACATACAGAAATCAAGATCCGTATCTGCTGTCAGTAACCATAGTGACAAAATATCCTGTTGCCCTCTCTCTCTTTGTCTCTCTCTGCCTGTGTGTGTGTGGGTGTTTGTACCTCTCTCACTTTTGATAAACTTTCCAACATTCTATCTCTCAGTACACATCTTTGAAACACCCAACATGTGTCCGTCATGTGACACTAAACTGACGTATGTAATATTAGATTTGGCCTTTTTGATTGATAAAGCAGTGTGGGCTGAACCATCTGTGACATATTTTGGGAAAGGAAAATCTAGTTTCATAGTGCATGTGTACTGTTGGGAGGATGTGGCTTTAGCTGCACAGATGAGACTGTCCACAGTCTAGTTTTAATCAGACAGCCAGCTTGTGGAATAAAAAGACTCTGTCCCTAACCCCTTTACTAATGCCAAAGCTGCTCGTAATAATTAACGTTAACATTAAAATTATTTTTCAGTTTCAGATGGATTTTACTTTAGACTATGTAAATAAGTGAAAGCAAAAATGAGGAACTTCCCTATTGCTCTAGAAGCATCTTTGTTTTGATGTGTTTTTTTTGCTCAAAATGACATTCAGAGAAGGAGAGCCCCATATGACTCATTTATATACAAACAATTTTTTGAAAGATATAGAATAGTTGAAAATTTGTTTTCAAACACTGAGTTTCTGAGAACCACCAGTGACTTGTAGTGAGAGCAAATAGATGCCACAGCGTCAAAAAGCGGCCAGAAATGGTTTACGGTGTGGGAGTAACAGCATACTGTAAAAGCACAGATATTCTTTAGAATGTGAGATCAGAGAACTTTTGAAATGTAAGATGTGGTCAAGCCTTGATATATTACAAGCAAGAAAAAGAGAACAAAGAAAATGTGAATTAATGGCCACTTTCAAAATGAAAGAATGAAAATGTTTCATTAAAAATCTAAATGTAATTGTGTAACCATAAGGCTGACAATATTTGAATCAGGGTTGTCGAACACATAGGCTACTTAAGTTAAGTTAAGTTTTATGTACTAACTGTTATCCTGTGGTTTTGACACCTTTGAATTGCTCCCGCCCTTCAGGGCACTATATTCTCGCAGCTGCAGGATATGCACTATGATGGCACATCCAAAATGGCATGTATAAACATTTACGTGTGCATATTTTTTTTAATCAAGTATTACTAAATTAGTAAAATGAGAAAATGAATAGATGTGCTAAGATTGGACTTATTTACAGATAATTCCGCTCAATAAAATGTTACTGTATAGGGAATATATAGGATTGTGCAGATACAGCATAAATAAAGATTAAAAAGATAAAAGACAGCTAAATGCAAATAAAACATATTCATAAGAATCATATTCCGTTTTTATTGACAACAACCTCCCTTTGTTCAAAACAAGTCCGGTGGTGAGGCAGAGGAAGCAGTTCAACTTCCTCATGGCCTGGCCTTGTGGATCTGACTCATTGGGCACCGTATCACCCCCTTCGCTGACAGACACCAGACATGGTGTTCTGCCATGGCTATTCATAGAGGACAATGGAGCTGAATACCGAAGAAAAGTCACTTACAATGTTTTTACACATTATTCCGGTTGTTATTAGGATCTTACTTTCAAATGAAGATATAGACAGATGATTACGGTCATGATGACAAATAAGTAAATAATGGGCAAAAACAGAAGACCGTGAGACTTTGACGATAGATTTCTGAGAGCATTTGATACCAATCAGTGTTATCTGTACATCCTGTGCATTATAAGGAAGTTATGAGAGAGTAACTTCAAAAAGGATATCCTCTTGAGTTGCATCTGTTGAAATATACATTAACATCAAGTATCTGTTACTGATGACCATTGATTCTATTGTAGCTTTTAACTGATGCTCAAATTTACTTTGCCCACCAAGTTTATACAGGAGACAACAATAACCAGTTCAGAAGTACCATAATGGTAGTATATTCCCACTGTATGCTACTGGTACACTACTATTTTCTTCTATGTATTTATTGTGGCTATGATTTCTTTGCACTTACCAGTAATCTTAGTTTGATTACTGTGAGACACTGCTGCCTGGAGTGAATAACTCTTAGCAGTGCTTTTGCTCTTTGGTACTTAAATAGAGTTAGAGATCTAAAGAGATCTAAAATCAAAACATTGCAGTACCCTTTTCAAGTATGAAAATAGCACTATACTCCATATTTCATGAACTGAATAAGCATTCACGTGTAGCAGTTTTACTTCAGTGTGACTGCAACTATGGTGATTGTATGAAGTGTGAAATTATCTCTGCTGCTGCTCAGCACGTGGTTTTGATAAGATTGCAACATTTGTACAGGAAACTCAAGTGGCTGTTCTTCTTACTTCTTTGAAGAAAAAAACATTGGTTGGGTAAAAAAAATTACGTCAGACTGCTAAACTGAAGATATTTTACAGTACTTGAACGGAACAACTATGAATTCAAATGAAGTATTTTAATTGGTTGATTTCACCCCCCAAAAACATGTCTATTGAAGTGCTTCTACATTTTTACAACCATCAAATCACATCAATTAGTAAATAACTTTTTTTGTAATATTTGTTGTTTATTTTTAACTTCATCTTCGTGTCCAATAATTTGCATCAGTTGTGTACAATAGTGTTGTCAGGCTGCTTTGTTAGCTCTGCACGCCAGTCCATTTGGGTTCAAGTATATTTCAATATCTATTTGATGAACTGTTTAAAAGTTGTAGCACTTTTTATACAAAGTCTCCCCAACGCCTAAAGAGAGGGTTTAAAGGGGTATGTTCCTGCGCTGACACACTCAGCGTGTCAGACGTGAACACCCTTAAACATATTTAAAACTTATGGTCATCACTTTAACCTCATAAGTAGCGTACACCCAAATGAAAACTTCTGAAATCTGCATCTGCACTACAGTTCACACACTGTGACTGCAGGAGAAGTTTCACCATAGATTAATCGGAACTAGCTCCAGTTACAACACAAGATTTCATTTTGTGTGTTTTTGAAGGTCTGTTGTTGCTTACGATTTATTGTTTGCTTCTTTTTACTGTTATATGGTCTTATTTTACGTAACTATTTTATTTGCTATATTGAATACACTTTGATTACTTAATGTTCAGTGGCGTGCACAGACTTTTTGAAGGGCAGGGGCGGAAAGAAAAAAAAGGGCACATATAGTGTGTCCTCACCACTGTAGAGGGCACTTTAGCATGCGTTTTGGCTCCCAAGAGGGCACTGTAGCATGCGTTTTGGCTCCCAAGAGGGCACTTGAGGGCAGTTTAGCACACGTTTTGGCTCCCAAGAGGGCACTTTAGCATGCATTTTAACACACGTTTTGGCTCCCAAGAGAAGGAGCAACAATTGCCCCCCCCACCTTTTGATGGCAAATAAGAAGTACATTTAAAAAAACAGCGTGCCAAATAACATCCGCATTTGGTCTATTTATTTCCTCTATACACAAAAATTTAGGTCATAATCACCTAATACCATGCAAGCATCTCCTCTCAGACAAACAGTGCACTCTTTTGGAACTGAAGTACAGCAGCTGTTGGGGATCAGATCACTTACAGTGGGTTTAAGAAGGGTATTGGTCAAAGATTTGCTCTTGACAAATTACAGACTCAGTGCTGTAACTTCAGCAAGTCACAGGATGGCAGCAATGTCTTTTCTGCTCAGTCAGAAGCAAACTCTCCATCAAATAAATTCAAAACAGTGTTGAAGACAAAGGTCAATGCCTGATAGATGTTCTGTTTCTGTTACCTGACTACAACTACAGCTACAGTAACTACATGTCATTGAAACTAAGATACTATAATTTGCAAAACTGAAATAAAATGTATTAAACATAATAGGAAATAATATGAAATATAGACATCTAATTGCCCCCCAGATTTAACTGCTTCTTGTTGAAAATCATATGAAAAAAAACACACAACACTGTGTGTAACTAGCCTATTGGTTAGCTTGGCTTCCTGAAAGTAACAGCACCAAACCAAAAACCACAACAATGACTCCTCACGCTCTGTTCAACAATATACTAACAAGTTATTTTCTTCTGACACATTCTAAGGGGCAAATATGTCAATATCTCCTCATACATAACCAGTCTAAAATCCAATGTACATTGCAACTAAGAGACGCCACAAAAGTAGAATATGAAACCCACCACACCCTCATTGCAGTCTGAACCTGTCTCTGGCTACACATGAGAAGAGATATAGAGACTACACCAACCAGCAGTAATGGAAAAAAAAAAAAAGAATCAGTCTTATACTGGGGTGGTTTTAGCGATTAATAAACACCAGTTGAACAATTTCCGTTCTGAACATTCCCACGGTGTGAGGTGTCAAACAGAACAATATACTGAGATAGATGTATTCTTTAGATACAGCATGTCAGGGGTTAGTTGTGGGGATTTGTGAAAAAAATTTAAACAATCTTAATAAACCACAGACAGCCTACTTCCTGTTGGAACCCAACGAGTGTGAATGGGCTTTATAACCACACAATACCCACTATAGATAGTTATACTAGTGTGTTACAAAAACAGGAAAATATGTCTCACTTTAATAGTGCTTAAAAAGTGCTTACTATACTAAGATTAAACATGTCTGGTACTGAAAATTCTGAAAAGTTGTCATTATGGTATTCTCTGGTAAATTAATCCTTGTATTAATGTGTAAATTGTTTGTAGTCAACGGGCTGAAACATCAGTATGGTCCTTTGTATAGTAGTATAGTATGGTATAGTTTAGTGTATACAGTATAGTGTGTTTTGCCTCTGCTCTGTCCTGTGTCCTGTTCCAGGTACCGGCCTCCCCCCCGACTGGTCAGGCACACCTGCAGTAGTTTTAGCAATCATGTCGATTGCTTTAAAACAAAGACAGCAGAAGCAGATGAGGCCAGTCGGCCAAACTGAAACAGTTTTCCCTTAGAAGACATGACACGTATATAGACATACACAGAAAATGTACCTTTTCAAATGAATATGAGGGGCAGACTCACAGAATAAGCCACACAAAGGGCTTCATGAAAAGGTTTGCTTTGTTCTTAACTGTTACCAACTCTCTGAAATGTCACATTCTCCATATTCCTCTTAATCTTCATATGAAATGTTTATATGGAAGGTTTGAAATGCCAAACACAAATTAATTTTTATTC